CACAGTAACACCCCATCTTTTATGTATTGTCTGACTGCTTTTGTGCTACAATCTGTACAGACTGAATAGTGTGGCAGAGACTGAATAGTCTACAAAACCTAATATATTCACTATCTGCCCTTCTGCAAAAAGTGTCTGCTGACCCCTGCCTTAGAGCACTAGCCATGGAAGCAAATACTGATCATGTGACACGATCAGAGTTCTGCAGGGAAGGATGGGCTCCGGTGAGAAGAAAGGGAGGGTAGGAGGTATCAGAAGGAGCTGATGCTCAAGCTGTGCCTTGCAGAACCGTGGGTCTGCTGGGCAGAGGAGGGACTAGAGAAATGGGAAGGACCCTCTGAAGAGAAAAAGTGGCATATGTTAACACACAGAGGCAAGACAGGGCAAATTCAGGAAGCTGGCTCTGGCAGGACCACAAACTTTAAGCAAGCCTTCAGTGCAGCCTGGCAATCCCACATCCATCCCCTAGCCCCACCACTCTCCTGCTTTCCGGGATGACTACTGGAAGCCCTCCTCTCTCTCCTCACCCCTCCAAAGCCTGTGTTCACACTCAATCAATGAACTCCTCCTAACTGCCCTGGGGGAACTGAGACATTTGCAAGAGAACCTCCCCATGCTCCCCATGCCCTAGCCACTGTCTTATCTGCAGCCTTGCCACCAACTCTGCCCTCCCTCCATCCTCCAGACAAGACATCCATCATATCCATATCCTAGCCAGGGACCATCCTACCCTGTGGGAATCAGATCCCCTCGGCTTTTCCTTACTCAAGGCATGCCTTTCTCAATTCCCCTGCGGGGAAGCTTTACTTCCCTTAACATCATAAGACTCTGGCTACTTCTCCACTCCTCCAAAGCACCTTCATCTGAAAAGGTGTGTACAGGTGCTATTTCTAATTCCTCTCTCCTCATTCTCTCTGGAATCTATCACCTCACTCAAGCTTTGGTCTCCACCTCTGCAAAACTGCCTCCCCTGAAGTCATTGACGACCTACTTGTTGATAAATCTGCCGGTCAATTTTTTTAAGGTTATTATTATTTATTTATGTTGGCTGTGCTGGGTCTTCGTTGCTGCGTGTGGGCTTTCTCCAGCTGTGGTGAGCAAGGGCTACTCTCTAGATGGGGCGGGCTTCTCATTACAGCGACTTCTCTTCTGGAGTATGAGCTCCAGAGTGCATGGGCTTCAGTAGCTGTGGTGTGCACGGCATATGTGATCCTCTGGGACCAGGGATGGAACCCCTCCCTGCACTGGCAGGCAGATTCTTAACCACTGGACCACCAACAATTCTTGATTTTCAGTCTCCCTGTCCTAATATAAGCATCTGATCTCTTCTCCAATATACTTTCTTTACTGGCATCTAGAAATCCACCCTCTCCTGGATTTTCCTACACCTATACAGGGCACTCCAGTATTCTTGCCTAGGAAATCCCATGGACAAAGCCTGAGCCTGGTGGGCTATAGTCCATGGGGTCACAAAGAGTCGGATACAACTTAGCAACTGAGCATAGAGGCCACTCCTCTCTATTTTCCCAACTGATAAAAGCTCACTTTCTTCCATCCACTCTCCTGGCATCTCATCCAGACAGTATAAGCACTGTCTAATGAGCTTGCTGTGATGGTGGAAATGTTCTCTATCTGCGCAGTCCAGTATGGTAGCCTCTGCTCACATTTGGCTGTTGTGCACTTGAAATTGTGGTTAGTGTGACAGAAGGGGCTAAATTTTAAATGCTATTTAATGTTAACTCATGTTAAATATAAAAAGCCTTTTGTAGTTAGTGGCTACCATATTGGACAGTGCAAGTTTGTTTGCTGATGACTTCTAAACACATCTTTACCCTCAAATGTTCCCATTAATTCCAGACTCACGGATCCAACTGTCAACCAGAAAACCTGACTTAGATGTCTCATCTACCCCATCACAGCCCTTCCCATCTCTGTGAACAACAAACCCATCCTTCCAGTTGCTCAGGCCAAAGAGTCTTGGAACCATCCTGATTCCTTCCTTTCATGCCCCATATCCAATCTGTCAGCAAATCTGTCAGTTCTACCTTCAAAATACATTTCAAATTTTAACACTGCTCACCACCTCTCCACTCCAGTCCAAGCCCCCGTCATCTCTCAGCTGGATTACTGCAATTGACAGCTCACCTGTTCCCCTGCTTCCACCTTCACCTGTCCTTCACACAGCAGAAACCCTTTTAAAACCCAAGCCAGACACATCACCCCGCTGCTCACCACCTCCAGTGGCTTCCCGTCCTGGCCACTGAGTGACAGCCCTCAAGGTGCTATACTCTGTCCCCTGCCTTCTCTGCAACTTCCACCTGTCTCCTGTGACTCCACCTCTCCAGCCTTGCTGACTATGTTCTAGACACGCCAAGCACACTCTATTCTGGGCCTTTTCTTTGCCTGGGATGTTTCTTCTCTGCCTGGAATGTCCCAGGGCTTGCACCTTCACTTCCTTCGGGTCTTTGCTCAAAAGTCACCTTATTAGCAAGGTCTTCCCAGTCCACCTTAATTCCAAGAGCATGCTCTGCTCACATTTCTTATCTCCTCTACCTGCTTTATTCTTTTCACAGCATGTCTCACCATGTGTATAATATACTATATGATCAGTATTTGCTTACTAAGTACCTCCCCCATTAGAACATAAGCTCCTTGAGAGCAGGGGTTTTGTGTCTCTCTCATTTACCACTGTATCCTCAGCACCCAGAGCAACAGGTACTCAAGAAATACTTACTGAGTGAATGAAGTGTAAGTGGTGACACGCATAGGAAGGTGGAGAGGCCTGGGAGCTAGATGACTTGTGAAGAGGCAGCGGGATACGACCCTCGGGGACTGGACATGGACATGGAGTTGCCACCACAGGTCACCTAGTCACCCTGCCCCTCCACCCAGCTGGCATCTTCACCCCCACTCAGCAGTGCTCCCAGCACCACTGCCCTCCTGCAACCCCCATCTTCGTGGAGGAGGATGAAGGCACACCCCTGCTTCCAGCCGAGGAACCTGGGTCTTTGTTGACCACCCAAGTAGTGCCTCCTCCAAAGGGAGGCATCTCTGAAGAAGAGTACCTGCTCCCGGCCCCACTCCTACCTCAATTGGAGCAGGGAGCTGGCCAGGGCTGGCAGGCTACCGGTCTCAGGCTGTCGTCCCGCAGCTCCAGCTGGCTGTCAGAGGGCATGGAGTCCGTGGGCGACAAAGGGGTGAGGGGAGGGGTATGTCCTCTCTGTGGATCTGAGGCTGCAATCCCAGCCTTCTCTGGATTCTGACAAGACATTTTGCAATTGTGGTGTCGGGGCGTTTTCACACGGTTAGAGCCCTTGGACATCACCCAGGGACTAGTCCAATTACCTCACCTTGTAGGTAAAGAAACCGAGGCCCAGAAAGAGGCGGTGACTACCCAAAGTCGCTCAATGACTTAGTGCCTGAGCCAGGACTGGAATCTGGGTCTGCCTCCTGTTTCTCTTCACCACATGGTGCCGCCTGGATAACAGTGTCCTTTGGATCCATTTCTCTTGGCCCCTCTTTCAGACCAGGCCTGGTGGCTTCAACAAAATGCTGATTCCTGAATCTAGCTGGGGCTGTGCCATTGCAGCCTGGGTAAGGAGCGTCCTCCTTTGGACCTTAACCTCTGAGCCTGTGCATTAGGATCTGACCCTGATCCCCACACACTCTGATGGAAATTAGAGGACTCCTGTAGTTGTCACGGCAACTCAGAAGTGCTTTGGTGTCTGATACTTCAGCTGCTTGGCATCCCTCAGTGAGATGCTTTGCTAGGTCTCGGCTCTGTCACCGACCAGCGATGTTATCCTGGGAAAGTCACTAATTTATCCATCTATCTACCCATCCATCATTCACTGCCATCCAAAAAGAATCTGTGCCAACTTAAAATATCACCTACAAAGCAAGACCATAAAAAAAAAAAATAAATAAAAGCTCTAAACCATGTTCAGGTAGAAATATAGAGAGATTATAGGGGTTAAAAAAAACAAACCAAAAAAACCCAAGCTAAGTATTGAACAGGTATTGCTTTGGTAATTTGGAACAAAGCTTAAGAACCTAAGCTGATATCCAGCTATTCCAGTTTCATTGTGGGCTTTCAAGTCTTTTCTGCTCCCTGGCCTTAGATTCCGCATCTGTAAAATGATGGGGTTGGAGGTAATGATCTAAGATTCATTTCAGCGCTGTCATTTTGTGGCTCTGTTTTCATAGAAGGATGGGGCAACGTGGCCACTCCACACCCCTCCCTCCTCTCCCCATCTCCCTCCTCCCCACTGGCAGCACAGGGACTGGTCCACAGACAAACTCAAGCCACATGTTCTGAGTTCCCCAAATTGTGGGAAATGGACACAATCTGCTGTTAACAGAAGCCACTCATCCAGTTCATTCAATATTTACCAAGCACATAACATAAGCAGGGCGCGATGCCAAGGCCAGGGGGGTAAGTCAGGTAATTCTGACACAGACGCTGTCCCCAAGGCATTTTCAAAGGCAATGTAAAGTCAGAAGTAGTGGGTTCTAAAGAGGGCAGAATCAGAGACACAGCCTTGCAGCTCAGGATTCAAGAGCCCATTTTTTACTGAAGGAATTAGGGAAGCTTTGGGAGGACATTTTTGAATATGGCCTTGGAAGAAGGGTAGGATTTTTAAATGATGAAAGTAATCCATGCACATAGTAATAACAATTCAAATGGTTCGTTAAGTATATAAAATGACAGTAAGTTCTCCTCTCAGCCTCCCACCCCGCAGTCCTAACCTGCTGAGGCAACCACCTCAGGTGACTTGTAAAATACCTATTTTAAGCTTCCTGTCTGCTGCATCGACTTGGGACAGTTTCTCCTCCTGCTCCCCCTTCCAGGAAGTGTGATGAGGTTGCTGGTACCTGGGCACTTCTCTCTGCCTCACCTGAGGAATCGGGACAGTGGCGTGGAGCACATGCAGATGTAGGCTCTGGAGCCAGACAGCTGAGGTGCTAATCTCACTGCTTCCATTTTCTAGCTGTGTGACCCTGGGCAGGCTGCTCCACCTCTCTGTGCTTCAGTATCCTTATCTGGAAAATGGATATAAAAATAGCACCTAACTCATAGCCTCGTCATGAATTCAGTAACTTTTAACAGGCTTAGGATAGTTGTCAGGAAGCATTTAACAAAAGGCTTCCGGTGTGCTGTTTTGGATCTGTCAGGAACCCTCTGGCCCTCATAGATTCCTGAATATTAATATTAATATTAATTCCAGGAATTAAGAGGAGAGGCACGCCTTTCCTGAGGCGTGGAATCCAGGCATTTCTCATTACAGTGATAAGTACCCTCTTCCTTATTATGAGCCAAATGGTAAAAGAGGATTGTTTGCAACTCTCTCTCTTTGATAGGGATCATCTTTTGTTTTGTAAGTCTGGGATTTTAATCTTTATCTTTGCTGAGAATTACTACAGTCTATATGCCCACACCAAGTTGATTAAAACACTTTTGCTCCAGCGGACCTTTGGTCCCCGTGTCTGTCTGTCTGTCTTTCTTTCCTTCTTTCCCTCTCTCTCTCTATTTCTGGCTAATTCCTTGGAGGCCCGCTGAGCTCACTTTCTCGCCCGGGCTTCTAAGCCCCTCTCGAGAAGGCGCACTGCGCCATCACCCACTCGAGAGGGCGCCTGGTGCCTCCGTGCAGCCGCGCTATTGGCTTTCCACGTAAACCACGGGTTATCAGCCTCTCTCTCTCTCTTACTCTCGGAACCACCAGGTTCCGGTCCATTAAAGGACCAACAAGCGCTCTCTCTTACTTTCTTATCGTCGACTCCGGACCACCAGGTTCCGGTCCATTAAAGGACCAACAGATAGTGACTGGGACATAGTGGAGACTCAATGAATGGTAGCTATCTTATTGCTAATACTCTTCTCCAATTCCAAATTTTGATTACCTGTTCAAGTTCTTCTTTACATGTCAAGGTTTAAATCATTCAGATTCTGCTTTGGAGCTCCATGAATTTTTGCATGCTTTGTAAACTTCACATAAATTGAATCTAAAACTTGAAGAACAATAAGCAATACTTATATTTATGATTACATACACTGCAGAATCAGGTAGGGTGAATAAATCACGACAGAAAGGGCTATAACACTATTTCCAGCCAAGTTACTGGATGGAAAAAATTCAAATATATAGGTTTATTGTTCTTTTTCTATCTGCCATCAAACTGCTCAAAATCATATTATATTTCAGTTTGCTTCATGTTTGGCCCAGACTTCTTCCACAGGCTTTTCTCTACATTTCTGAGGTTTCTCATCGCCCTTTTTGTTACAGAAAGTAGAACTATATGTTTTCTTCATCCTATGGTAAGACTGTCAAGATCCGTAATTTTCCTGTTAAATGATCAGTTTTGGACACATTACTCTATGGATCTGCTCCACCACTATTAATCTGACATGGCTCTATTTTTTCCCCCTCAGATCCCATGTTTCTTCTTTATTGAATTACTTTCATTTTTTTTTTTTCTGGAGGACACCTTCAAGTAATTTTCCTGAGTAAAATTATGTGGAAAGGAAATGTTCCAAGTATTTGTATGCCTGAATGTGACATTATTTTACACTATGCTTTTTCTAATTTTTCTCCTAAATTCTCTTCAACCCTATGGTTTCCATCCCTGCCCTCCAATAAAAATGCTCTTGATGCGTTAGTCAGGGATCTCCTAGTTACCAAACACAATGTACACATTTAGGCCTAAACCTTTCTGTGACATTTGACATTGTTGATGACTCTCTGGTCATCTTAAAACTCTTTATTCTCTTAGTTTTGAGGATTCTTTGTCCTTTTCCTCTTTCTCTGTTTATTTCTTTTGAGGTTTTCCCTTCTCAACTCTACAATACTGATATTCATTTAAAAAATATTTATTATTTATTTGGCTGTGCCAGGTCTTAGTTGCAGCACATGGTATCTTTGTTGCCGCATATGGGATCTCGTTCCCTGACCAGGGCTCGAATCCGCATCAGGAGCAGGGAGTCTTAGCCACTGGACTACCAGAGAAGTCCCAATGCTGATATTCTTTGATGTTCCATCTCTGCCAAACTCATGATCTCTTCTATATGGGCTTTCAAAAAAGGCTCATCCAACCCTAGGGCTTCAGCTACAGTCTCTGTGTTGAAACAGAGTTCTAACTAAATACTGTATAATAATTTCAAATTTAGTATGTTTAAATCCTTTTTTTTCTTGGCCACACCACACCGCTTGCGGGATCTTAGTTCCCTGACCAGGGATTGAACCAGTGTCCTTGGCAGTGAAAGCATAGAGTCTTAACTAGTGGATCACTAGGGAATTCCCAAGTATGTTTACATCTTAATCATAAACGTACTTCCAGTCAAAGGCTGTTTCCATTCTTGTGGTTTTAATTCGGGGTAACAGAGTCATCACTGACCCAAATCTCCCCTCTTAAGCACTATGCAGTCATCCTCAACCTCTCCTTTGGCATCTCCCAACCAGTTGCCTCACCAATTCAAGTCTATACCAGAAATATCTCTGGAATTTTATCATCTTCCCTGTTCTCAGTGCTGCCGCTGCTGCTGCCTGGCCGCTTCAGTCGTGTCTGACTCTGAGTGACCCTAAGGACTGCAGCCTGCCAGGCTCTTATGTCCACGGGATTCTCTAGGCACTAGGGTGGGTGGCCATGCCCTCCTCCAGGGGATCTTCCCGACCCAGGGATCGAACCCATGTCTCCTGCACTGGCAGGCAGAGTCCTTACCACTGAGCCACTAAGGAACCCCCATTCTCACTGCTACCTGAATTCAAATCCTCATCATTTCTCACCTGGATTACGGAAACAGCCTCCTTGTTGGCCCCTCTGCCCCTAGCCCCTCCCAGTCTCTCTAGCCTTCATTCAGCTAGCTATGTTCCAAAATTTTTTGTGTGATAAAGCATGCGTGTATGCTAAGTTGCTTCAGTCATGTCCAACTCTTTGTGACCCTATGGACTGTAGCCCACCAGGCTCTTCTGTCTATGGGATTTTTCTAGACAAGAATATTGGAGTGGGTTGGCAAGCCCTCCTCCAGGGGATGTTTGCAATCCAGAGATCGAACACATGTCTCCTGAGTCTGCTGCATTGCAGGCAGATTCTTTATGCACTGGGCCACCGGGGAAGCCTGTGTGTGATCATCTTTCCTCTATTTAAGACCCAATTGGCTCTCTACTGCTTATATATATATATATATATATATAGAATGATGCTCAAACTCCTAAGAATTACACACGACACTTGCAATTTACCTCTCTACATTTATATTTCGAATCCTGCTCTCACTCTTCAGCCCCACCTTTTCTACATACACTTCGGCCACAGAAATTTCCAGGGATCCCATCCCTCCCTAGACACTATCTCCCTAGACTCTATGTGTTCTTATTTACTGTTTCAGGCTCAGTTGTTCCTTCCACAATCCCAGAGAACCCAGCTAATAATTATCTAGCATACAATACTGTTGAGATCTATTTTCTGCTTCCTCTGTGGCTATGCTGTCAACTCCTGGGAAGCCAGGCCTATGTTATATTTACTAGTCTCATCAGCACCTACCACAGTTCTAACCACATGACAATTCGATTTGATGTCAAGAGAAGAAAAGACAGCAAAACCTCAGGGAATGAGTATGTTCAGGAGCAGGAAGAGGGGCCATGATGAGGGCTGTGTGAGGTTAATAAGAACCCTACAGAGTCACAAAGGCCTAGGGGAGAGAATTTCAAGGAGGAGGGCATGGCTGGTGATGTCGAATGTGCAGGAGGTTGAAGATGAGGCTGGGAATGATGATTCCACTAGATCTGGAGACTTGGAGGTCTCTGGCCACCTTCAGGAAAAACATTTCAGTAGCAGGAGAAAGGAGTTCATGAGATCTGAAAGGTTTGGGAGGGAGGAAGGGGGGTGGAAGAAGTTATTTTCTGACCTGACTGCTACAGCACTTGACATTGACCCTCCCTCTTTATTGAATCACTTTCCCCTTCTTTGGCTCTTACGAAGCACATTTTGTATCTCCTCAGATTCCTTCATGGGCTCCTAGTTCTCTACTGACCTTTAAATGTCAAGGTTTCCAAGGTTCTGTTTTTAGCCCTTGTCTCTGCTTAATCCTCAAACTCTCCCATTCATGATGATTTCAATGATGCCTGCCTCTTGGTGACCCCACACTCTTATCTTCAGCCCTGGACTCTCCCTAGGCTTCAGACCCGTCTTTAGCTCTGCCTGTTGCACATGGAGATTCCTCAGGGTCACAACAAGCTCACCTTTCTGGAACCCAACTCACTGGCCACCACCAAAAATCCTCCCTCAAAACCTGCTTCCTAATTTTCAGCAACTGTATCAACCTATCAAAGGGTACAATCCAAAGACTTAACTCTTCCCTCTTCATTTTTTAAGTTCTGTCAATCCTACCACCTCCTTTTCATACACTAAAAACAAACTAGGACGAGAAATTAAGAAAACAATCCCATTTACAAATCACTTCAAAAAGAATAAAAATGCCTAATAATAAATCTAACTAAGGAGGTAAAAGACCTGTACTCAGAAAAATGATGATGTGATGAAAGAAACTGAAGATAATGCAAAAAAAGGGAAGATACACTGTGCTCATGGGTTGGAAGAATGAATACTGCTAAAATGAACATACAACCGAAGGCAATTTACAGATTCAATACAATCCCTATCAAAATGCCAATGGCATTTTTCACAAAACTAGAACAAATAATTCTAAAATATGTAGAGAAAAACAAAAGTCCCTGAATAGCCCAAACAGTCTTAAGGAAGAAGACAAAGCTGGAGGTATCTTGCTCCCTGATTTCAAACTACAAATCTACAGTAATCAAAATAGTATAGTACTGGGACTTCCCTGGTGGTCCAGCAGTTAAAACTCTGCATTCCCAATGCAGGGGGCCTGGGTTCAATCCCTGGTCAGGGAACTAGATAAACCATAAAACTTCTGGAAGAAAACATAGGCAATATGCTCCTTAACATGAGTCTTAGCAATACTTTTTTGAATGTCTCCTCAGGCAAAAGAAACAAAAGCAAAAAGAAGCAAATAGGATTGCGTCAAGCTAAAAAGCTTTTGCAGAGTGAAACTGTTAACAAAATGAAAAGGCTGCCTACTGAATAGGAGAAGATATTTGTAAATGATATATCTGATAAGGGGTTAATACCTGAAACACACAAAGAACTTACACAACTCAACATCAAGACAAAAAATGATTAAAAAATGGACAGAGGAGCTTAATAGACATTTTTCCAAAGCAAACATACAGATGGTTAATAGACACATGAAAAGATGTCCAAAATCACTAGCCATCAGGGAAATGCAAATCAAAACCCAATGAGATATCACCTCACCTGTCAGAAGAGCCATTATCAAAAAGACAAGAGATAACAAGTGCTGGTGAGGATGTGGAGGAAAGGGAACCCTCATGCACTGTTGGTGGGAATGTAAATTGATGCAGCTACTCTGGAAAGGAGCATGGCAGCCTCCCTTAAAAATTAAAAATAGAACTACCATATGATCCAGCAATTCCACTCCTGGGTACTTATACAAAGAAAATGAAAAGATATATGCACCCCTATGTTAATTACAGCATTATTAACAATAGTCAAGATATGGAGGCAATCTAAGTGCCCATCAATAGAAAAATGGATAAAGAAGATGTGATATACAGATATATAGATACACACATATACACACAATGGAGTATTACTCAGCCATGAAAAAGAATGAAGTCTTGCCATTTGTGACAACATGGTTGGACCAAGAGGTGTTAAGTGAAATAATATACACAGAGAAAGACAATACTGTAGACTTCACTTATATATGGAGTCTAAAAAACCAAAATAAATGAACAAACATAACTAAACAACAGAGTCACTGATACAGAGACTAACAGGTGGTTGCTAGAGGGGAGGGGGTTGGAGAAAGAAGACAAAAGAATCCTATTACCTCAATAATACAGAAATTCATCCCCTCTTTTTCCAAACCTATTGCTTAAATTCTAGCATTCTAAAATTTTTCTACAGCATTGTTACAATCACCCCAAGTCAATTCTCAATTCCTCTTTGAGCATTCTCCACACTGTTTCCACAGAAGTCATTTTCCTCTAGTACTTAAAAAACAAATGGATGCATAATTTACATACAATAAAACACACAAATTGTAAGTGCAAAATTTGATGGGCTTAAACATAACCACCACCCCAATCAAGAAACAGAACATTCCCATAGCCTCAGAAGTTTCCCTTGTGACTCTCTCCAGTCAAGCCCCTGATGCCCAGAGGCAGCTGATGTCCTGATTTCTATTACCATAGAACAGTTTTGCCTGTTCTTAAACTGTATGTAAATGGAATCACATGGTATGGATTATCTTGTGTCTGAATCTTTAGTCAACACAGTGTCTGTGAAAGTCATCCAGGCTATGGCATTTTCATGGCATTTTCACTAGTTTCTTCCTTTGTGTTGCTGCACATGCGTGCTCAGTCACGTCAGTTGTGTCCAACTCTTTGCGACACTCTGAACTGTAGCCCGCCAGGCTCCTCTCTCCATGGGATTCTCCAGGCAAGAATACTGGAGTGAGTTGCCATGCCCTCCTCCAGGAATTCTTCCCAACCCAGGGATTGAACCCGAGTTTTCTGCATTGCAGACGGATTCTTTACTGCTGAGCCACTGAGGAAGTCCTTTATGTTGCTGAGTAGTACACAATTGTATGGATATACCACAACTTATGTTTCCATTCATGTGTTGATGAAAAATTGAGTTGTTTCTAGTTTTTGCTGTTATGAAAAATCTGTCATGAACTTATGAAAAAGCTGTCATGAACATTTTTGTATGTCTTTTTTGGACATATATTTTCAATTTTAGATGAATATATAGGAATAGAAGTGCTAGCTCATAGGACAGGTGTGTATGTTCAATTTTGTAAGGAACTGTCAAACAGCTCTCCAATATGGTTCTACTACTTTATAATTCCACAAGCCATGTCTGAGAGTTCCAGTTGCCAAAATAAGTCTTTTTCAAATGCATATATGTCATGCCATTTTCCTACTTAGTGATCATCTCTATCTCCACATATGTTCAAATTCCACAGGAAATAGGCAAGGCTCTCCATTTCCTGTGTCCCAGTCATCCAGTCTCACTTCTTACTATTTCTCCACATGTTCCCTTCATTCCAGTCATAGAAACATCACTCAGTTCCCTCAACTGAAGAAGTCTTTTCACTTCTTTGTATAAGTCCTTCCCTCTGCCACAATGCCATTTTTCCCCTCATTTACATAATGGATGTCTACTCACCTTTTCAAAGGTGTTTGCTGATTACTTCACACCTGTACCTACACCCCTACAAGTTAATGGCTGCTATTCTGTACCCCCTTAACATACACGGTATAACTCCATTAGAATACTCTGCTCGAAGCAAAAGCATTAGAACACATTATTTTCTTCTTGCTATCTGACTAGCTCCTGAAAGACACTTCTATCACTGTTTAATGATGGTCTGCTGCCAGACGACACTACCAGCAGTTGTGCATAAAGTAAGTAGAAATAACCACGGCTCTTGCTCCCCTAGAGCTTAGGGTAGAGTGGAAAAGAAAGCCAGGTAACCACACTCATAAATGGAGAATTAGGTACTGAGTTAAGTGTTCTGAACAAATGGGGTGGTGAGTCTACGAGTATGTAAAAGAAAAAAAATCTGTCCTAAATACGGTGGAGGAGGGGGCATGGAAGGTTTCCCTGAGCAGATAACCTAATTGGAATCTAAAGGAGACACAGGGATTAATCAGGTGAGAGAACATGAGACTGTTCAAGAAACTGAAATGAAGCTGGTGAGATTTGAGAACAGAAACTGATGGGCCCCGTGTGATGGAATAGAGTTGGACAAGCGCCAGACCAGAAGCTGCTCAGATTTGGTCACCGTTTAGCTCAAGATCAAGCTGCAGGAGACGCACTGGTATCGTCCTCCACTGACAGCCATGATGGATGCCCACTGTCCATCACTGTATGCAGCATGGGCTCATGTGAAACAGACATTTGTGAATTAATTTTAGAAGCATTCAAGAAGTTTGACAGCTAAGGGAAGGAGGGACCACATGTATCTTGAACGCACTGCAGAATTAAGGAATAGAGTTTTTAAGCAAAGGCACAACTTGGGTTTGTTTAGGGAATACAGCCAATAAAGGGATGGACTATGTAAATAGATTTCTGATGTAGGTGGGAAGGATGGAATCACAAATACAGAGATTATCTGTTTTGAAAAGGAAGAATAATTCTTCCACTGAGATATGCGAAAAGGGCAGAAAAACAGGGAAAGATCTAGGGAAAAGACACAAACTCATGGCAGATATGTTATTACTAGGCAAGGGTGTTATTACAGTCACGTGGGCTCACTGGAAATTTCATTGAATCTGCATGGTGCTATCAGACGATCACTCTTTGTCAGCTGTGCTGTGGATTCTGCCTACAGTTATGGCAGCAGATTTATAGAGTGGTGACTCGCAACCAGCACGACACTAAGTTTTCACATTCATTCGCCATCTCACTAAATTTTCACAGTTCACAATTTTTCAAAGTACATAATTTTAGGCCCAACTTACAGATGAATTACAATTTACAGAACTTGGGTTCAAGGAGGTTGAAAACCTTTCCTGGATCCACACTGT